CCAGAGTCCACTCGACCCAGTCTTTCGCGCGATCTATGTATTGTCGAGATCTCGATCTTGTGTCTGTCTGTCTGTATGTAAAGATGTCGTAATCCGGGGGGAATAATTAAGCCTCGAGAACGTTTGTTAAATGAGGGGAGCGGTCAGAAACAAGATTTTGTATTGCGCACGCAACTCCATGTGCTCAAGAATCAAGATTTTACAATTGGTTTCATACAGGCTTTTTATACGGATGCAAGTTATCGAAAATTTTCGGAAAAATTCAGGTAAGTATGGCTCTATTTCTTTCTTCTGAAATACATCAAGGCGATGACCTTTTTAGTGTTCAATCTAGAGGCAAACAATGTGCTTTTATGAGTTTATCTGCAATTTTAACTGCCCAAAGTATCCCAGTGATCGATTGGTCGAAAACAACATTGAATAATGTCTTATTACAAGGAGACAAAATGTATTTGCAAGCTGTGGATAATGGCTTTGTTGTCTTAGAACCTGGTGTCGAATTCCTATCTGTAGATAACTTACCTAAAATTGTCAGTGTTTCAAGTTGTACGAACATGTTTTCTTACGAGATATGCGATTCTGTCATCGACACAAGTAATATATCATCTGTAGTGCATGCGAAAACAACTACAACACCTATGAATCCCTTTGATACACAAATTAACGTTGAACTACCCATGGTGGTAGGACAAAACAGTAAAAGTGTACCCATGGTGGTACAACAAAATCATAACAGTCCACCTATGATGGTAGGACAAAACAGTAACAGTCTACCCGTGGTGGTAAGACAAAATAATAACAGTCCACCTGTGATGGTAGGACAAAACAGTAACAGTCCACCCGTGGTGGTAAGACAAAATAATAACAGTCCACCTGTGATGGTAGGACAAAACAGTAACAGTCTACCCGTGGTGGTAAGACAAAATAATAACAGTCCACCTGTGATGGTAGGACAAAACAGTAACAGTCTACCCGTGGTGGTAAGACAAAATAATAACAGTCCACCTGTGATGGTAGGACAAAACAGTAACAGTCTACCCGTGGTGGTACGACAAAATAATAACAGTCCACCCATTGTGCTAGAGCCCGTTGAGGCACAAAATAACATTGAACTACCCATTGTGGTAGAGCCTGTTGAGGCAAAAAGTATCACTGATCTGCCCATTGTGGCAAGGGGTAACACTGATCTATCTATTGGTGTAGAGCACAATTCTGTGGTGCCTAATGAGGAAAACAATAAAAACCAAATTTGGTTTATAAATTATGGAAAAGAGCTTCAAGGTCTTGTTATAACCAACCGAGAAATTGAGTCACACTACTATGACATTCACACAGCACTTTTGAATGTGTTTTCAAATTATAGTTGTTGCTGCCGAAGGCAGCACTCCTAATCTTGACATGAAGGTTTCGCCAGAGTTCACTCGACCCAGTCTTTCGCGCCGATCTATGTATTGTCGAGATCTCGATCTTGTGTCTGTTAAGATGTCGTAAATTCCGGGGGGAACGGCGGGGGGGAGTGCGAGAAAAATATTAAATATTTAAATTGCGCGTGCACATATTTATATGGCTATATCAGTATATGCAAACTTATTCTGGATCTGACTTGATGCAAAATATACGACCATTTCCCGAAGAAACCAGGTAAGTATGGCTTTATTTCTTTGTACTAATATCCATCAAGGCCATGAACTGTTTAGCGTTCATTGTGGAGGCAAGCAATGTGCTTTTATGTCATGAGTCTACGGCGCTTCTTACACAGTTACAGCCCGAAATATTCCCATTGTCCGCATGGTCGTTTAGAACATTTGATAATGTCTTATAAATACAAGGAGACAAGATGTACTTAAGAGCTCTGAAGTATTTAATGAATTTACCGGCAGTGTATAATAGCCCACCAGATTTATTCGTCAATAATGCCTTATTTACGAGTCACAATGTACTCAGTTTTAATATTTGTTTGTTATGTGCCAAGACGATGAGTATAGTGTTCATTTCTAGATGTTTATAGTTTAACAACAAACGCGGAATGTTGTTAAATCAGGCTTACTGTAATAAGATCCCTAGAGCAACCCTGTGTGGATTGTTCTCTGCACATATTGACTTTATACCAGCAATATGATTAATGTAATGGTATGTCAACTGATTTTTGTATAAGATATGACTGTGTGTTATTGTTAGCATAATATGAAATAATCCTACAAGCCTACATTCATATATATAATTAATATATTCATCTGGCTGTGTCACTACATTTCACGGTGTAATATATTTTTCGATAATGCCCACAATAATTTAGAAATGTCAACAAATAGATATTGTCTCCCCATCAGCATATTGTTCGGTTGTTCTGTGATATGGGCAGCCTTGAAGGTGGCATTAAAACAATAATTGGAACAAACCCCGACTTAGGGCCTGTTTACATGGAGGCAAGTTACCCGGCAAGGCGAGTTACTCGCCCAGGCGGGACAAACAAGCGCTCTGTTTATATGGAACCAAGTTACTCGACATTTGTCGCATGATTGCCGCATGAAGCCGAAATGGCGCCAAAACAGAAAAAGGATTTAAGTCGTTTGAAACGCTAAAAACATTACAAAATATAGTGAAAGTACAAGAATAATTGCCGAGCAATTCAGGAAAACTTATCTATCGATTCGTATGTATTTTTGAGCTATTATATTTCAATGGCAAAGCACGTGTAAACAGTCACCGGCTGCATCATGTAAACAGTCACCCGGGATTACTATTAGTTTCTATAACAGCCGGGATCTCACCGTTGCCGAGTAACTCGCCTTGCCGGGTAACTCGCCTCCATGTAAACAGGCCCTTAGTATTTTTATATAAACATTGTACAGTATTCAGTGGCAAGGTAGCCATGGCAACTGGCCATATGCATACTATACTGATAAACCTGCATCTATTTGAATAATGCAAATCATTAAAAATTTGCATAGCATGACCTGTTGCTATGGCTAGCTTCACCACTGACAGTATTATAATTATACAACAGCAAGACGTTACAAGCATTGAAGATATTCATATAAAACCACCCGTGCCAAGAAAGTAGAATTAGAACTTTCAGCCGCCCTTCGACTTTGTGCAAGATGTTTGATATTCAAATTGGACTTTTCCTACCTCCTGAACAGGCGTCTTAAGGGCTGTTTGCATGATGGAAAAAGGGATGATTTTGATGTATTAAAATATTAGTCACTAGGCTAAACGAAAGTTCAAACGCTCAAATGTACAGAAGTAGTTCAATTAAGTATGTTCAAATGTAGAAAAGATCTTGTGGTTCAAGAAGGTTATATTATGCTTGAACAGGCAACCTTTCATTTACAGTTAACTATACTGTAATCCATCTCTAGAAAATAGTGAAATTTTTTGCTGAATCATGCATTGTGACTTATTTAAGTACATCAAAATCATCCTGCCTCATATCTGCTGGCAAAGCGGGATCATATAAACAGCCCCTTTTTCGGCAAATTGTGCATGCTGCCTTTAATCCCTTGGGGTGAGGCAGCATTTTCCTTGCGATAGTAACTTCTAGTATTTAATATAGACATGTATCTAGGGCTAGGCTCTTACACTCTTCCTTAACTTCATAATTTTGTTCATGTTCTAATGTTTTTAACTCTCTTTCTCTGCCCTGGTTTTCTTGCAATTTTCGGCGTTCTTGGTACACTTAATAAACCATCTGTAGAACTAATTACCTGTTTCCTTTCTGGCAATCCTTTCATAAATTTTTTGAACACTTGTTCTTTCTCTTCTTCTGTCTTTTGCTTCCAGTGAACATTCGATACTTTCAATTTTTTCATCCATGGAGCTAGCTCGTAGTTACCTTCCCCATATAACGCACGTCTGCAATCAATTTGTTGCAGCTTGACAATTCTATATAGTCTGTCAACCAAAGCTGGTAGTTTCATACTAGTCCAGTTTGTTGACAATTTAATTATATGATTCATTGATTCACAGGAACTATTCTTCCAGTCAATGGGAATCCATTTATTGTTTAGTCGAGCTTGAAACACACCAGAGCGGATTTTCTCTGCTATTTTAATGAAATAGTCCTTAAATGAAGGCAAACGCTTGTGGAACTTGTCCAACAATTTAATGTACGTAAGCTCAAAGTTCTTGCTGCTATTGCACAATATCAATCGATTTTTGCCAAAGATTTTGCTAATGATAGTTTTTCTCGATTTATCATCCAAACCAACTTTATTCGTGAGGTAGCGACGCACATTTTCTTCTAAATGTCTGGTGCAAAGTACCTGCACCGCGGCAGGAAAACATTGTTTAATGGCTTTTAAGAGTGCCACTTCTTCGTCCGATCCGATCACAATTTGGGAAATCTGGGTACCAATTTGGGAAATCTGGGTTGGAGTACAGAACTGCTTGACATCGCGCAAATTCTCCTCTAGACATAATATCACAGAAGGTGGCTTTCCTTTGGTTTGGATTACTTCTTGTATGAAGGGATGTTTGTGCATTTCCGAAAGGGAGTTTGTATTTCATCTGCAACGTTTTGGCAGTATAGTTTATTGTTGGTTTTCTGCTTCTTGTTGTGGTACTTTGCATTTTGCACTTGTTTCAAATCCCTGGGTCCACAGTCTGATCCATTTAGTACCATGTGTTCATAAATGTCTCTCGGTGCCAATGCCTTGTTCGTTTCAGTCATTTCTTCTAGTTTTCTTTTCACAGTGCATGATGTACGGACACACTCACTAGTGGTCTTTTTGCTGTTACCGTGAGGTTCAGGTTTCTGACAAAAAGCGCCGATATATTCCACCACTGCTAGATTTTTCATGGATTCCATGTTCTCTGGGCACTGAGTCAAAAACGAAATACGTCGTTTGTATGACGGATCGCGTTTTAAAGTTATATAATACTGCTTAAACATGATAATCGCATCAGCTGCAGGTTGAGGCTCGATCGGAACACGCTTGCCTTTAACAAATCTGACATATTTTCCATCTTTTTTTATCTAAGTAAACCAGCTTGTTGTGTTGTTTTAAAACGTAATGATGGGTTTTTACGAGTGAGATTGTTCTTGTTTTCCAAAACGAATGCTACGTTTTTTTTGATACCTCGTGGTATGTTTTTCGCTGATGGTCGATGGGTGTGCATTAAGGCGAGGACTTCTTCAGGACTAAGAAACTTATCTTCTATAGTTAGCTTGATCGCCCCGGGAATCTCGAAGGATCTTTCTTCCGATCCGTTCGTTTCACTCATATCTTCCCCCGAGCTGTTTGTTTCTGCTTCGGAGCCGTTCGTTTCGTTCATATCTTCCCCAAAGCTGTTTGTTTCTTCCGAGCCGTTCGTTTCACTCATATCTTCCCCCAGCCGTTTGTTTCCGCTTCCGAGCCATTCGTTTCACTCATATCTTTCCCCGAGCCGCTTGTTTCCGCTTCGGAGCCGTTCGTTTCCAACTTATTTGTTTTTAAGTTGCCTGTTTCCGTACTATTTGTTTCCGAGCCGTACGATTCTATACTACTTGTTAGAGAGTCTGGGTCAATAAGTTTAGTTGGAGGGTGTGACAGTTTGGTAGAATTGCTGGATGGTTTATTCTCTGTCCTGACAGGACTCCATGGAAGATTTAGTGATGCTTTCAAGTCGTACTACGCAATGGAATTAGGGAAAGAAACATTAATTATACATTGTTTTTGACTCACGCATGTTGTGAAGCAACATCTGCGAGTCTTTGTGGTTACTTGAGTGTGGGGTGAGTTTGGGGCAGTTAAACAATGGGAAATGACCAGCCTGCTTCCAATCTCGTTCCCCGAGAATGCCCGTTCGCAGGTTAATGGTGGGCATTCTAACATGAGTTCTACGCACGCTCGGCAATTGTTGCAAAATATAAACATGATGAAACAATATACTGAATTTGATCAACTTTTTCACAGTCAAAGTCACCAGATATGACGTCACTGGGTGAATATACTTAACAATTATACCATGAGCTCGAGTCGTGTATGAGCTGATAGCCGACGAGGTGTGTAGCACCGAGTCGGCTATCAGCCATATATGACGAGAGCGAATGGTATAATTGTTTTATAATGTACTCTAATAGCCATTAACTGAAGCAATAATTAATTATCCTCTGCTATAACATCTTGACAATTTGTTTGGCCAAAAACCACTTGGCCTTGAAAATTTGAAATACTTTTGTTTTACAACTCGAAGACGAAGTGAATGAAATGGTTTTAGAACCGGTATATCTCACAGAAAAGCTCAGATATATTATACAGATGTTTGGTAGTATAGTAAGTTGTCTTTCGTTGCAAACTTTTCTGAACAATTTTTATTCTCAATGAACATGTTTTTTTCATTGTTGTTTCAGTATTAATTCTTTAAAAAACCTATTTAAACTAACTTCTATGTAATAAATGTATTTTGCTAACCTGTCAAATTTTTTTATATAGTTTTTCCATGTACTATTATCTTTCTCAAAGCGAATATTTTCCTTTTTTCTGCTTCGCAAAACTCATGTAGTTTTTGGACCGCCATCTTGTTTTTCGCTACTCGCCGTATATGAGCTGATATACGGCGAGTAATTCAACCAATCAGATTGCAGAACAGCTCATATACGGTGAATGACTATATTATAAATATTACGTATAGTTTTACCTTCTTTTTGCTGGTAGGTGTAGACGTTTTGGGATCATCATTTTGTATGGTTTTTTCCACGCTTTCTGTCATATCTACACCTTCTGGTGGTTTCATAAGCAATAGCGGAACGAAATGATTAGGGAGCCATGTGACGCCGGTTCTGGGTCGTGAAACATTGGACCACATGAGGACGATAGGTGGTCTAGGCGAGCAATCTTTGTTTGGGTCGAATGTTCTATGCAGAATGGAAACAGTTTTATCTAGCAGTCTGTTGACTGGTGGATATATAGACAAAATCTTCGTTCCGAGTGCTGATGCTGCCGCATGAATCATCCATGCCGATGAAAACTTTCTCTGACTGCTGTCCGGTAGTCCGGAGACACAAACTTTACGCCTGTGTTCTTGTGCTTTTTTGTATCTGCGAAGCAGATATATTGCCATCATGCGCGTACCGGAAATTTGTAAGCGTGCTCATAGCCAATCAACGACAGCTTATACATGAAATGACGTAATGATACTAATTTCAAAATGGCGTTTTACTAAAGTGTGAAACAAAAGACAATTTGTGAATTTACGAAATCAAATGCTGTTTAAAACAACGTCATTTTACTAGTCTGAATATGGCAAATGTTGCTAGTGCATTTTTGGCAAGCATTTGAAAGGTTTCATCATTTAATACGCAGTGGAAACGAAATGATTTGCAATTTCGGACAAGAAAGTTATTGACTAATGGCATTGAGAATACTATTATGAAATTATGAAAGTAATGATTCTTCCACATGTTGCCGTTGTAGGTGTATATCGAGTTGTAAGTGTTGATGTTTATGTACTTCTCAATTTAACATTTTCATTGGTGACTTTAGTTAATATAAATTAGTTGAATGAAACCAATAGAAGGCTATATAATTTCGTAAGGTTACATAATTTCTTTATCAATGATTATAACTATAGACAATTGGTGTCTGCTTTCATTACAGACTTTGATAGATCATTTTTATACAAATTTAGCAGAGTCAGAAGCTACGTCACACATATTGGAAACATTTCTCTTAAAGCACTTTTTTTAGCAGTATGTGCATTGAATAATTGCTTTCATTAAAGCAAGGCAAAGTAATAGTGGCTGCATAAAGAGCAGAGATTCAGTTTTAGATTGGAATATCAATGCTTATAGTAACAGTTGCACCAGTCATAATTATTAACTATATATCCTGGACGGGGTGCTCCCTTCTTCATCGACCCTGATTTCTGCAACTGAATGTCATTGTCAAGAACACCAGTTAAGCAATTTATATCCCCTTCACCTATCCCATACTATATTGTCTTATAATCAACAACAACCATATGTCATAATGGGATCTTATTTAATATAGCACACAATGTACAAAACTAACATAATATTCTGTTTAGTGGATTTTCTTCCACGACAAAATATTATTGCACGGATCTGTTATGCTGAATTATATCATTCTATTCAAGAACTATATGCATCAATTATACTTCTAATTTCCATACTTGTCATCATTTGTTGCTGATGAATGACTTTCAATATATGACCTATTTGATATATTTACTAGGCATAAACAGTTGATTTGTGTGCCATCAACCATGACTATGACATTTTCTAAAAGGAAATAGATTATATTTAAAAACAATTATAAACAGCAGAAATGTTGATGTTATGTATCAATTATGGTATAAGAAGGCTTCCAAAACTCTGCAAAATGTAAAGTTAAAACTAAGACATAAACTTCTCCAGCAATTCCTGGATAGTTATTAAGTACTTGTTGTTCAGTAGTTGATCAATAAGCGTTGTCGATGCTACTGTTGGTGTGTTATCATCGCTGTTGTTGTTGTTGTTGTTGTTGTTGTTGTTGTTGTTGGTGGTGGTGGTGGTGGTGATGGTGTTGGTGTTGATGTCTCTGTCGCAGTTTTTGTGAAATTTTCCTTGTTTGCTAGTAATCGGTTTCAATAAAATTAATTAGGACTAATGTAGTAATAATACAGTAAGTTTATGTGTTTGTAATTTTTGTCACTGAAAAGCCCCTTCAGGGGAGTGTCAATAATGTCAATGAATCAATTAATCAACAATGAACAACAATGTATATTGGCACCACCTGTTATCCTGACAACTTCTATGCATCTACCATGTTCTCACATGCCTGCTAAAGTTTAATATGAACTATCAAGAAGATTTGGAACCCGAAATGTTTTAACAAGAACACAGAGATGGATTTAGCCCTGGCCAGAGGGGGTGCAGGAGGGGGTCCCATTTTTCATGATAAACAAAAAATTATTAGAAACAAAATGAGATAACAGAAATTTGAGTAATAATATGATGATAGGCAAACTGTGAACAACAATTACAATTCAAATACTGTAGTCAAGCAAGACTTTGCAATAGTGAAGCAAGTTGATGGGTGGGTGGCACACATGACCGACACAACTCCGCACCAGAGCGTCAGAGTGCCCCCCCCCCCCTATCAGAGCATGCTGGATCCATCCCTGTAAGAATATTATAAAATTAAGATGATTCAACAAGAATATCATAAAATTGAATATCATCTTTGTGACGTTATGGCCGGAATTAGTTTCTGCAAGTTGAATATATATCAGCCATTTTCTTTTTCTTTCATCTGACATACTATAAATCTAACTTTATTTAACTGGTCAACTGTTAAACATCAGTCCCTTAAATTTTTTTACAAGCTACTGAGTGTTGATTGAAGCCTTGGCAAAAGTGCAATCACCATGAGCAGATACATGTACGCTTAGCGTACCTATTTTTTTATATAGATCTTTGTTGACAACCATTTCAATGCAAGTACGCACCCGAAGCTCGGTTGATAGTGAGGTATCTCCAGCAATAGTGGTTGACAACGCATGAAAAAGGCAATTCCCATCTGCAGGAACAGCAGCTGGTAAGCGAGTTAAGGGTCCACCTAAATAAGGAAGTGCATTATGCTTTAGTCATTTCAAACCACGGGCCCCCCACCCCCGGGACATAGCGTGGAATTTAACACTGACAAGTGTTAAAAAACATTAATTCCCCTGTCCCTGGGGCAAACTGTTCTGTTAAAATTACCCCCGTACAGCCGGGCTTCAATATACCTAAACTATAAATACAAGACAAATTCCGCATCATGCATCATGAAATCAAGGCCGAATGCCCATGGCCTTGTATCTTAGGGAACGGGAATAAACGCGGGAAAACAAGTGAAAACTGCTGCTTGACACAATTGACAGGCCAAATTCAGATGTTATTGACTTACTACTTATTGTGTTAACAGCTTGTTTCTTGTTGCTTATTTCGATTTATAACGATTTTTGTGTGTATTTTAAGATTTAATGCCCACAACGAAAGTTGTAAACGAGTATATGTTATAAAAACGACCGGTAGTTTCCCCCGTTTCTTGTGTGGAAAATGCATGTGACAATGTTACGTAGCGACGGTGTTTATCCAGAAGCGAAAAACAGTATTTTACTGCGGCGATTTTAATGTCAATATATAGGTTATTCCGTGAAAAATCGAGACAACTATGGAATGAAAGTATAATTTCCAGCATCTTCTGCGTTAAATATCATGTTGTATTTTCTCAGAAGTTTTATTTCAACTTTCAAGCTCACTTTTATAGACAATATTTTCGAAAAAAGCCGTAATATTTTCGAAAAAAGCTGATTTTCCCGCGTTTTCTCGTTTGCTAGGATACGAGGCCTTAATCACGATTTATGAATAAGGTCTATGGACTATGATGACAATGAAATGTTAGGTGAAATGAGACTTACCAACTCACCTCAAAATTTCTCGGGCAATGATATCAAGAGTGGACGTTCCAAACAGGATTTCCTCAGCTTTTACTTGTGCAAGGGGTGTTTTGCGCAAAAAGATTTGCTCCATTTTTATGGTCGTTTCCAACATTCCCAGCTTTGATGCATTCTCTAAGCGTCATAGAGCTGCGGTGAAGTCGCCACATCATCGGCACAAGAAGAACACAGGTAATCGTCCGTTAGCCGATTCAAGGTGGTTAGATCCTTCGCAGAAAGACATTCGCATTTCGCATGGTGCCACACGCCGCAACCTTCACAAAACACAGAATCATCGTTGCACTGCAGACCGCATGTGCCACATGGCCATTTGCACCTGTTAACACGAGCAGATTTTCTACTAGCCATATTTTTTACTTTAGTCAAGAATGAAATTAACGAAGATGTTGAACGAGGTTTAACCGATGGTGCTGCAAAGCCAAGCTTGTCAATTGTGAGGTTGTTTGTGGGATTGTTTTGTGATGCGTTCGAGATCCGTGGGCATTACGGCATTAAGGCTTTAGGCACTTTGTGTCATGCAAATTAATACAATATTAACAGGACAAAAGACAACATTTTTGAAATTCTTAGCATTACAAAGACAAATAAATAATTTGTTGTGGTAATAATAATATAGATGTAACACGAAAAGTCTCTCCTCAGATCACTCTGAAAAGATCGCTCTTTCGTTTCGAGTAAAGTTATATTAAACTGTTATCTTTTACTACCGAACTGAATAATCTCTTACTGCCGAAAATATCTTTTACTGCCGAAAACATATTTTACTGCCAAAAATATCGTTTTCTACCGAAAATATATTTCATTGATATTATTTAGAGTAGATTTGAAAAAGACTTTGGCGATGTCCCAGAAAATATAACAGAATAACAAATCAGAATAACAACCGCACTTTAGCAAACAATGACATTGTGCGTTGGCGAATATGTTAATATGCACATGTCTAATAAATAACAGGGATTAGGGTAAAAGTAGACTTTTAAGTGGAAACGTTTGTTCGAAAAACAAAACAAATGAGTGGTTATTTCATAAAAAAAAACCTTTTCCTATGCATTTTACTTTAATACATATACACAGTGTATATAATCGCTCATATGGTTGAGATGCATTACAGAAGCATTCTGCGGTAAAAACAAAAGTAATTTTCGGGGTGGCCAAATTTCCTGCGACAGCGGTACATAATTTTCCCCAGGCATTCTGTGAATAGTTTTTGCAATGCCATATATTACAAGAAACATTCAAACTTTCATTAAAAGGCATTTTTATCATTAACTAATGTAATTACTTGCGTAATTTTACCCCGGGCATTCATTTCCGACTCCCGGGCATTCTTTTGTGACAGCAGGACATTCTTTCCCAACTCCCGGGCACTCCCGGGCATTCAACGAATGTTCCCGGACATTCCCGGGCATTTAGTAGGACCCAAATAGGGCTAATCGGGGTGCATTGCCACTTAAAGGGTTACCATTTGTGTGGAAATACACCCTGATTAGCCCTATTTTGTTTTTTTTATA